CGCCCAAAAATAACGAAAATAACGATTTACAGGGCAAAAAAATGCAAAGCGTCACTTTCCACAGCGTTTCAGCCAAGGACAGTGCCTCCGTAAAGGTTTTGCGGGGGTTACGGGGCCCCCGTAAGGTTTTCGGCCGGTACAGGAGCCTGGTACGGGGGACCCTCCGTAAGGAAAATTTGGGAGGTACGGGGGAGCCCGCAAGTTTCAGGAAGGTCAGTGTCGAACCCTGATGTATACGCGTTGCTTAGCTTGCAACGTGACACGCCCACGATGAAAGGTATGCACTTAAATTCGCCCGTGCGCCTAACTCCTTGTAACGCTTCAACTACACTCACAATAGACTGCTGCACTATTCTTTCCAGTCCTGCCACATTATGTTTCACCGACGTACTTCGGCACCTTCCACATCTATAACGCGGGCAGCTGCTTCACCAGGGCCCCCATATTTAAGCAGCTTACCATACAAACGATATGCAGGTACGACTGCCGAATAAAAACTCCGTACCTGCATATCGTTTGTATGGTAAGCTGCTTAACAAACGCAGAATTAGGTAAAGATAAATATGGGGGCCCTGGTGAAGCAGCTGACCGCGTTTACGAAGCATGTATTGTTGTGGAAGGTGCCTAAGTACGTCGGTGAAATATAATGTGGTAGGACTGGAGAGAATAGTGCGGCAGTCATTGCGGTCACCCTACGAAGCCGCAATGACTGCGGCCAGCTGCTTCACCAGAACCCCACGATGATTTTTGGAAGAGTGTAACTAGACTTTAGTCGGAACAAGGTGCTGTATGCGCTGCACTACAGAAAGCAGGCGTCTTTTAGCTTGCACAAAAGTGCCGCTTCGCCAGACGCTTTCTCTTCCCGCGGCTGTTTCATGAGCCCAGTCTTGCAAACTAAGACGTTTTCGGTGCTTCCAGTTACTGCAAAGCAGCCACCCAAAAGCCCAGCCTGCATGCCGCGTGCGCCTGTGGCCATCATGCCCTCCTGCGCAACACGCTGGCGCAACGCGGCCTTTCGCCCAAGAAATGACATACACTTGTACACGTGCATTTTGCGAATCGCACGCGCGCATAAGCGCGGCAAAATTCGCGCCTGGCTTTTGGGACGTCTTGTACGGAGTGTTTATTCGGCACAGTACGACCGGACACAATTGTGCGAGGGGCTGCTTAAATATGGGGGCCCTGGTGAAGCAGCTGACCGCGTTTACGAAGCATGTATTGTTGTGGAAGGTGCCGAAGTACGTCGGTGAAATATAATGTGGTAGGACTGGAGAGAATAGTGCAGCAGTATAATGTATTGTGAGTGTAGCTGAAGCGTTACAAGGTGTTTGGCGCACGGGCAAATTTACATGCATACCTTTCATCGTGGGCGCGTCTCGTTGCAAGCTAAGCAACATGTATACATGACGTGTAGCATCAGTCCTCAGTTCACTTCTTGTAACGAACATCAGCATAGGTCCAAGCCCTCTCGCTTGGAGGGATATATGCAAACAAACATCCTGATACGTAAACTCGCACGCTACCGAGCATTCAACCGAGCACATGCATGCTTAGTTGAATGGTGAGATGCGACCCCCCCTTCATTTCGTGCTCGGCAAGCCTGCCACCGCGTACCGGATATGTTGGCGATGTTACAGAGACGCTGCACCTTGGTTTCTGTGTGCAATGCGTACGATGCTCGACCCCGCCGACCAAAACTACACGTGCCCAACTGAAGACATTCCCGGTGGTTGTGCAGCAGCTCTTGAGCCTGCTGCTGGCTGAAGTCCTTCCGGAGCTGTTGCAACACGGCTAACGCGGGCAGGGCCCTATGCACAGCAAATAGCTGTTCCAAGCCAACAGCGGCGTCCATGTCACCAACAAGGCTCTAAACGTCTTATCTGTTCTTATGTTTAATTAAGTTTATGTATGTTATACTTTGCGCAACTTCGTAATTTGACTTTACTCTGGACAAGGTGCTGTATACGTTGCACTACCAAAGCCGCGACCGTTTGCTTGCACAAAAGTGTCGCTTCGCCAAACGCTTCCTCTTCCCGCGGCCGTGTCATGAGCCCAGCCTTGCAAGCTAAGTTGTGTGATTTCAGTTCTTTCAATTACGGCAAAGGAGCCACCCACATTTCCGGCCTGCATGCCGCGTGCGGCTGTGGCCAACATGCCCACCTGCACAACGCGCTGGCGCACCTTGGCCTTTTCCGCCAAGAAAATTTATATACACTTGTACACGCGCATTTTGCGAATCGCACGCGCGCAATCGCGCGGTAAAATTCGGTCCTGGCTTTTGGGGCGTCTTGTACCGAGTGTTTATTCGGCACAGTACGACCGGACACATTTGTGCGAGAGGCCAGGGAACGAGCCGAAACTTGACCAGGTCTGCGGAAACTTTTTGTAATCAGGAGGCGAATTTGCGGAAAGGCTGCAGAAACTGTGGAAAGCTGCGAAAACTATAAAATGAATATGTAACGATGTTTTTTAGCTCTTCTCAGTGTGGTGATAACATGGACAGTCTGAAACCAGCTTGTGGCAGTGCGGTTCTGTCCGGTGGGATCTAGAATCTGGTGGATTCCAATCGTGCTCGAAGGTAGAGCCATCTAAACGTATTACTGGGGGTGGCGGGGGCCAAGCGATCAACTATTGTGTGCCCACACCCTTGACGGTGTTCACCCTGCCCCCTTCAAGCAGCCCGCCTCTCTTTGAACCCTGAAACCCCAGGCCTGAGCAGCCCTATCGTATACCACCCCCATAGTGTTGTTGGCTGACGGATTGCTCTGGGATGATCAGAAATTGCCACTCGTATGTTACATGGGGTAAGGGCCCGGGGAGCCCTGAAACACTGAATAATAATCGTCTCCCTGTCCGTTGCGGAGCAGTGACATGTCTGCATGCCTACTCCACATACCAGTCCGGCATGTCTGCATGCCTCACGGACAAGTCTATGCTGACTGTGCATTAATCCAGTAATCGTCCAAACAATATGAATTCAAAATAAAAAATCAAAAGGAATAAAAAAGGCGAGAGGGCTAAAGTATCTAAAAATGGCACCGCACAACGATAACTGCAACGACGTGGCTCTGTTCAACTTCAACCACGTTTACGGACATTGTGGAATCAATTAGCAAAAAGCATACCGTCCGCGACACCTGGCCCAGACGAGGTGCCGCCCTGGAGCGATGCTAACCGATTTCTTGCCAGCGCACTGCTCGCAATTCCAGTACAACAGTCTTTTTCTCTTAAACACCAGCAATTTGGTAGGGTTGACGAACGTGAAGAAACTCGACCCGAACAAAATCGAGTTTGTCATGTCAATGGTATAGCATCCCTTCAAGCCACATAGAACACAGTAGTTCAAATAGTAATAATAGTAATGCGACTACTGTAGGGACAAATATTTGCTTCGTTCTTGTATGTGCGATAGCGTCAGCGACGTGCGGCATTCCAGCCTGCAAAATGTGAGACAGAAAAGATAATAGTGTCGGGGAGCTGCTGCCGCAGCTGGCGCACTTGGGGCGACCACAACGCGAGTCGCCGGACCGGACTATCAGCGAGGTCCAGCAGGTCTAGTTGGTGCAGACTGCTGAGCGGTAGACGGACCGCCGCTGTCGTCGATGAACCTGACCATGCCCTGAGCCCCACCTGTCTTGTCCAGAACGCCCACCTGCCGACAGCATATGTTATATAACACTGAGGTCGCCGGCCCAAAAGAGCCGTGTGGCTGTTTTGTCCTCCAGGCTGTTTTGTCCTCCAGGGTGTGAAAGAAGGGAGACATGCGTGGCACACCATCCCTCCCTCCCTCCACCCTTCCATTCCTTCACCCTCCCCCCACCATTCCCTCTATCTACCCTCCACCCTCCACAATACCTTTTCTCACCCTTATTCCGCCCTCCCTAAGTCATCCTCCCTTCCCCTCCCATCTGCCCTCCCTTCTGCCTTTCAGTGCCTTCTCCTCTGCTGTCCCCTCTGCTCTCCCTTGCCCTTCCCTCCGTCCTTTGTTTTTGTATGTGTGTGCCCTCTGCCCGTGTGCTCATGTGTTCACGGACATACGTGTGTATGTATCATGGCTCATAACATCTAGGGACACCTGGGAATTGAACCCAGACCCACAAGAAGGTGGGTGGCACCTCAGGGTGACATTGGGCTACGGAGGTGCAGGGCAGGGCAGGGGAGCTGCTGTCCCTGTCATCGACTTCATCGACACCGATCGCTTGTCTCCGTTGATCGCCCATCTTAAAACAAGCTAAAATAAGAGCGTTACTATTATTACTATTTGAACTACTGTGTTTTATGTGGCTTGAAGGAATGCTATACCGTTGACATGACAAACTCGATTTTGTTCGGGTCGTTTTCTTCATGTTCATCAACAATACTTGTTGGCTTAGACGCGACGGAGCGAAGTGACCGGAGCTTCTAAGGCTGGTTCTGTGGTACTGTCGTACAACTGGTTCGCAGTGGCAACTTAATTCTCGCTGCTCTCCTGGTGAAGTCATTCTGCCTTCATGCAGAAGAGCATACAGCCTTGTCCAATAGTCAGTGTGACAGGCTGTACTTGAAGCATTACCAATTCAAGTTCCGATCTACATCGCTCGAGTTCTTACAGTTCCTACTTAGTTCATTCAAATGTCAACTATTAATGACAATGCGCCATCGACAGAGACTGTAGCCACCGTTCCAGGTGGGGCTGGTGGTGGGTTGGGCGCCATCAGGTCCTCCCCGCCGGCCGGTGCTGCTAAGACGGGTGCTGCTGTTTTAGAAACAGTAGTGATGAATGCCCTAGAGAAGGTCTCTGAGAAGCGCCGCCGGGACGACCGGGCCGCTTTGGAGCAAGCAGATGAGCTTCACGCGGATTTTATGGCTAGTGAGCAGAAGGTGCCGAGAGACGTAATCGGTCACCGCCTGCAAGCCTTCGCAGGCTTTCATCTCGGCCTTCAGCTCATTCGCAGCTACCTCGATGCCGGCTGCTATGAGAAGGCCACTGAGTGGACAGACCGCCTCCAGCTTCACGCCGAGATCGGTATGGAGGTGACACACCAGCTAGCCTCGGAGCCCCGCATAGGTCTGACAGCCGCGGATCACTGTTTTAATAACATCATCGGCACACGGATTCCAAAAGGTGAGAAAGTGGAGGCCCTAGTGCGTAAACAGAAGGACTGGGCCCTGTGGATGGCGAGCACCTCCACGCCTGGCAGTCATGGCGGCAGTCATGGTGGCAGCCATTCTCATGGTGCTGGAGGCTCCGGCGGCGGAGGCAGTGGTGGCGGATCGCGCGGCAGCAACCACAGGGGTGGCGGCCAGCATGGAGGTCATGAGTACAGCGGAGGCCGTGATGCAGAGCGCTTTGATTGCAGTGATTGCAATGGCAATAGCCGCAAGGAAGGCCGCAGCTGCAAGTAGTGGTTTTCAGGCTCTGGTGCAGTAGAGTGGGGCCCGTGTGCCTGTCCTTTCTCTTGGCCCGTGTGCCGCTTCTCCTCTTCAATGACCATCACCGGTCAGTGCAGCGTGCGCAGGATTTTTTCCTTTACGATGAGTTTGCCAGCGAGCATCGATTTGGGCACCCGCGCGTGCGATTGAGGCGCCCGTGTGCGCGATAGTCGGCGCCCGCATGCATAGTTGTTGGCGCCCGTGTGCGCAGTTTTTGGTGCCCGCGTGCGCAGTTGTTGGCGCCCGTGTGCGCAGTTGTTGGCGCCCGCGTGCACAGTTGTTGGCGCCCGTGTGCGCAGTTGTTGGCGCCCATGTGTGCAGTTGTTGGCGCCCGTGTGCGCAGTTGTTGGGCGCCCGCATGCACAGTTGTTGGCGCCCGTGTGTGCAGTTGTTGGCGCCCATGTGTGCAGTTGTTGGCGCCTGTGTGCGCAGTTGTTGGCGCCCGCGTGCGCAGTTGTTGGCGCCAGCGTGCGCAGTTGTTGGCGCCCGTGTGCGCAGTTGTTGGCGCCCATGTGTGCAGTTGTTGGCGCCCGTGTGTGCAGTTGTTGGGCGCCCGCGTGCACAGTTGTTGGCGCCCGTGTGCGCAGTTGTTGGCGCCCATGTGTGCAGTTGTTGGCGCCTGTGTGCACAGTTGTTGGCACCTGCGTGCGCAGTTGTTGGCGCCTGTGTGCGCAGTTGTTGGCGCCCGTGTGTGCAGTTGTAAGCTTCATTGACGACCTTTTTTACTCACGGTGTTTTGCCTTCCCACTTTTTTCCTTTCTATCGTGTTCGCATTTTGAGGTTGTGAACAGACCATCGCACGGGTTCACTTTGTGGCAGCGTTTGCCGGGTTCACTTTGTGGCAGCGTTTGCCGTTCTTCCCTTTTCGGTTATTTCGCGTCAGGCCAAGTGGCCACACAAGTCGCCTTGGCAGCCGGCCGGCTGGGGGGACCCGTTTTTTTTGCCTGTTTTACTCTTTAAGCGTTGCTCCACTTCTCGCCTTGCCCGTGTCTCCAACAGTCTGTCCGGTGCACGCTTGCAGGCCTTCATAGCCGCCAGTAATTTCCAGCCTGAGGAACCATGGATTCATTCTCGCATGATGATGCTATTGCCTTCCTGTCTGAGCTAGGGGTAGAGGCCCTCTCGAGTCCGGGCCTTGTGGAAAACGTCCAGCTGTCCGTCAGTCGCAACGCCAGCCAATTCAAAGGGCAGCATTTTTTAGGTCAGCCGCGCGGCCCACCTACTGCAGCCCCCGAAGACTTGCCAGCCCCCAAACGGACAGCACCGGGCCCTGTCCCTGCCCGTCAGTCAAACCTGGACCCCGCACCCGTTCCGGCAAGTCTGGCCACGCATTGGAAACAACCAGCCCGCCTCACGGTGGCGCCAGAAGGTGTGAAGGTTGAGGCCCCGGGTGAATTCTGGAAGGATAAAGGGGAGTTTTCTAGTCCTACTTTCGACAACACCTCGGGATCTCGGTCGTCTCCAGTAGCGGGTCCGCCTTCCGTGCCGCACCAGATGAGGGGACGCCTCTCGGGCAAGAAAGGCGCTTGGAAGGCTTGGGTTGTGAACGCGCTGGTCATCTCGTGGATCACGTCGGGTTTCCCACTCCGTTGGGTCTCCAGCCCTCCCCCCCAGCACTCCGGCCGCAATCACGCGTCGGCAACTGCCAACGCCGCGTTCGTGGACAAAGCCGTAGCAGATCTGGTGGTGTCGGGCACGGCCCGTGTTTGGCCGTCGCAGCCCCACGTGGTTTGCCCGTTTGGGGTCGTGCAGCAGGCAACTAAGCTCCGGCTTATTTGGGACGGCAGGCCGGTAAATGATTACTTGCACGTTCCCTCCTTCCGCTACGAAGACTTGAAGGCGGTTCCCGGTTGGCTACTCCCAGGCGATTATCTTTTTACTTTGGACCTTAAAAGCGGCTATCATCACCTCGATATCGATCCCAGGTTCTGGGAATATCTCGGCTTCTGCTGGAGAGGGGTCTTCTATGTCTTCACACAACTGCCTTTCAGCCTCGCTTCCACTTGCTGGGCGTTCACGAAGCTCATGTGAGAGGTCATGCGCCCCTGGCGCAAACACGGCTGGCGATGCTCGGGCTACATAGACGATCAGATTCACGCAGACCAGAATGCCGATAACTTGGTCCGGTGCAGGGCCGAAGTGGTTGCTCAGTTGGAGACGCTCGGTTTCCTGGTCAATAAAGAGAAATCTATGCTGGGGGCCGTGCAGCATCGCATTCGTTACTTGGGCATGCTTATCGATACCAAGGACGGCGTTTTCATCGTGCCAGGCAACAAGCGGGACCGCCTCTTATCTCAGATCAATAGTGTGCTCACGGCACGGCGCTCGACTGCCCGCCTATTGGCATCCATTAAAGGCCAACTCCTGGCCATGTCTTGGGCCCTCGGACCTTGGGCCCGGCTGCGCACCAGAGCTCTCGGTCAACTTATTGAAACCCGGCAGACCTGGGAAACCCATCTCTCCCTCTCTGATGACGTGCGGGAGGAGCTGTTTTTCTGGGAGTCGTCTTTTGATCGGTTTAACGGCCGACGGCACCTGTGGGTTCCGTCCGTGGTGCATTCCCTCATTTTTTGCGATGCCGCAGGCAAATCCTCCGAGTCCCTCGGAGGTTGGGGGGCCTGGACCATCCTCAATGGCCGGTTAGCGCCAGCACGTGGCGAGTGGACGCCCGACGTCAGTGCTATGGGATCTACCCCGCAGGAACTCCAGGCCATTCTGAACGTGATTCGATCTTTCGATAGCCCAGCCTGTTTATCTGGTCAGTCGGTTAAGGTCATCACCGACAACCTTAATGCAGCGAATATCGTCAACAAGGGCTCTGCTAAAGCGGACAACTCCCACAAGGTCGCCTGCGAGCTGCACAGCTATTGTTTCGAGCAGGATATCCGCTTGCAAGCGGAGTGGCGACCCCGCGGCCAGAACCAGCTTGCCGATGCGCTTTCGAAACTGCAAGATCCTGATGACTGGATGCTGAAGCCCAGCATATTCCGCAGGCTTCACGACACCTGGGGCCCCTTTGACATCGACCTATTTGCGTCCCACGCAACTTTCCAGCTCCCTGTGTACTATTCCCGCTATTTCACCCCAACGACGTCCGGAGTCGACGCGTTCAGGTTCTCATGGGGGCGCAGGTGCTGGGCGAACCCGCCCTTTCACCTCCTCCTCAGGGTACTGCAGCACGCCGAGGCCTGCCAGTCCCGGCTTTGCCTTGTCGCGCCTTTCTGGCCGACTCGCGACTGGTGGCCTTTTATCACAGCCGATGGGGTCTGGTTCAAACCTTTCGTGCGTGGAGTTTGCTTGCTCGGCCGGGCCATGGATGTCTTCCTGGCCCGCACTTCGAGGGCCCCCCTGCCCAAAGGCGCTTCCCGCTGGTCCACCTTGGCCCTTCTGGTCGACTTCTCGGCCTCTAACATCAACCGTATCCGTGTCCCCGCTGATCCGATCGCGCCCCTCGCACAGACTTAGATGCCCGGGCTGAGGCTCTTTTGGGCGCTCTTGGCACGGAGGCGGACGCGGAGCTCTCCACCTTGGCGACGCAGTTTGCCCAAGTGGCCGGTCAGACACTCGCCCCGCGGACGTCCAATGACTACGCACGGTCTTGGGAACCCTTCCGCGAGTGGTGGATGGCCAGGCGACTGCCCGGAAGCATCTATGACACCCCGGGTGAGGCGGTGGCGCTCAATCTGCTCTCCCTGCTGAACTCGTCCAAGGAAGATAAGGTGGGGCCTGGACGGGTTCGTACAGCGAGTGCAGCAATCAGCTCCTACTTCCGCCTAGCCAGCAGAGCGCCCCCTACAGAGCACCCTGCCTGCAGCATCGTTCGCGACCTCGCCGAAAAGCAACTCCAAGGCCGTAAGCTGGAGCACGACGCCCTGGAGCCGGCGGACGTCACGGTGCTGGCCCGGCTGGTCAGTGGGCCGGAGCCGCCCCTTGACCAGCTGATGACCGTTACGGCCGTCGTGGTCATGTTCGCGGGGTTCTTTCGGTTCGACGATGCTGCGGAAATCAGCATTCACGAGGACCTTCTGGTTATCACGGCAACTGGGATGGATGTCTTCATCCCTCGATCCAAGACCGATCAGCAGAGACAGGGTCACTGGGTTCCCATCGCCCGTGTCGGCGGTGCCACTTGCCCCATGGGCCTGACGGAGCGCCTCCTCACCCTAGGAGGGTACAAACGCCGCCCAGACACGCCGGACGAGGACGTCGGGCCCCTTTTGCGACCGGTCCAGTGGAACAGGGCCGGGGGGTACTTGTCAGGCCCCCTAACAGGCACGGTGGCCCAGCCGATCCACTCCCTGTCGTACCCTGCCTTCTGCCACCGGCTCAACAAGACCCTGCAGGCGGCGGGGATCACCCGCCGCATCACTGCGCATTCCATGCGCATAGGAGGAAATAGCACTGCCGCCGACCGCGGTGTGCCTGCGGACCTGCGCAAGGTGCACGGCCGGTGGTGCAGCGACGCCATGGTGCAGCACTACACGCGGCGCGATGGGGAGGCGAAACTCTCCGTCTCCCGCAGCCTGGGCCTCGCCAGTGAGCAAATGTCTCTTCGGTCTGCTGTGTAAGGCCCTTGGCAGCAGTGCATTTCTCACCAACAAATCGTCCAAACCGCACCGTTCAGCACCATCGGGTCAGCCAAATCCTCAGCCACCAGAACCAGTTAAGGGAGACAGTAACACAGAATTGTTGGCTTAGACGCGACGGAGCGAAGCGACCGGAGCTTCTAAGGCTGGTTCTGTGGTACTGTCGTACAACTGGTTCGCAGTGGCGACTTAATTCTCGCTGCTCTCCTGGTGAAGTCATTCTGCCTTCACGCAGAAGAGCATACAGCCTTGTCCAATAGTCAGTGCGACAGGCTGTACTTGCCCCCCGCCCGCCCTGTCCCTGTCAGCCCCTTGCTTCCTTTTCCGCTATCCCCAGTCTTGCCCCAGATGCAGCACTGATTGGCTCGGCCTGGCATCGGCGGGCTCCTGAGAGGCGCCCTCCCCCCCCTCAGCATGGCGGCAGGGGGAGGCAGCACGCGCGTGGGAGGGGGGTGGTCCAGGGGGCGGGCCGAGGCGCCCGCATCCGGGATGAGGGGGAACACCCCTTGGGGTTGGTGCCTGGTCGTTTCTGGTCGGGTTTCTGGTCAGTCGGGCTTTGTCTGGTGTGAAGGTCTTCGGGGCGCGCGGGTGCTGCAGTGCTTTTGTTTCTTAGGTTAGCTTTGTTTTGGTTTTTGGCGTTGGGCGCTGGCGCCCTCTCGCGGTGTGTGCCGGACTGTTGGCTGTCTGGTGTGTCGCGCCGCGGTCGGCCGCACGGCCCCCGTGGCTACGGGCGGCCTGCTGGCCGGTTGGGCCGCGCGGCCACTGATAGGCTTGGCTGTTTGCTCTTTCTGCTGTGTAAGGCCCTTGGCAGCGGTGCATTTCTCGCCAACAAATCGTCCAAACCGCACCGTTCAGCACCATCGGGTCAGCCAAATCCTCAGCCACCAGAACCAGTTAAGGGAGACAGTAACACAGAACAAATTGTTGGTGTTTAAGAGAAAAAGACTGTTGTACTGGAATTGCGAGCAGCGCGCTGGCAAGAAATCGGTTAGCATCGCTCCAGGGCGGCACCTCGTCTGGGCCAGGTGTCCGCGGGCGTGCCGCCAAAAACCCTTCTTCTGCGCAGAAACACAGTCAATCTCTATGACTTCGGCAGCGCCCAGGTCGGGGCCAGTGGTTGTTGACATTTGACTTAATCTAATAACTCCATAGTGTAAAACGCAGTCTTTAAATGGCAAACGCATGCCTGGAATCTGTTTTTCAATTTCCGCCGTACAGCAAACGCGGAAATGCGGATTCTCTTTCCGCATTTCCGCCAATCTGGGCTTCGCTGCGGAAAGCGTGGCGAAACATATTTACGCAGGTTTCCGTTTCCGCAGGTTTCCGTTTCGGCTCGTTCCCTGCGAGAGGCTGCTTAACCAGACTCTGCTTGCGGATGCGGACGGAAACTGTTTTCGCAAATTTACGCTTTCGCAAATTTCCGTTCCCGCTCGTTCCCTGATTGACCGAGCTCAAAGTCACATCAACGTTACATCAACGTTACATCAACGCCTCTCAGGCTAAAATTCATCCCAAAAGGTGCTGCGTATCTCATAATTAAATTCTGAGATGACGGCGTATGATAACTCGAACAGCTTGTGTTACTATTTGCCCGCACGGGCATTTCGACTTGCCACCAGCAGGCCGACAGCTTTGCTTTCATTTCTCTATGAAATACGCAAGCTGCTCGTTTGTAAATTTCCTTTAGCCAATGCTCGGGGCCTCCGGAGACTTGCGATGAAGCTCGCGGCTGTGGAGCGGATTGCTGAGGCCGCTGGCGCTTCGGGGATAAACATCACAGACAGCACTGAACTTCACCCAGCTTGCGTTACCATTTGCCCGCACGGGCATTCCGACTTGCGGTCTGTCGCACTGTCCATGCGGCATGCACCCGGGATGGAAGCGATTCGCGTGGAGCCCGCAGGCGGTGCTGACGATTCCGCCGGTGCAAGCTTAGCTCCCACACCATCAGCACTGCTGCAACAAGCACATCTCCCGCCATGTTGACACTACCCATCAATTGTCACACGTGCCGCGCTAGCTACCAGCCTGTACGGATGCAGGGGGCCCCCGCCCTTTTTGTCGGCTTCAAGGAAGCCGACACCCGACTTGTTGTTACTGGCCTTGGGTGGGTCGCCTTGGGTGGCTCTCTGGCACGCTTGTGTGTTACATGGTCATGGGGTACGTTCCTTTAGGTCCTGGGGGCCACTTTGGTGGTGCAACACAGGTAGCTATCATTAGTACTGGCCACTAGTGCAAGTTTCGAAATGGGTTGGTGTTGGCAGGGGTTTCATGGCCAGGATAACTTGCAGCCAAGCCGAGCCGGCGGCTGGCGACTTAGCTACTGTAACACATGGCAGGACTGAGCAATAACCTGTAGTGAGGGGTGAATTTACGCTTTCTAGTAAAAGTATACTCCACGGCCATAAACCCCGCGTGCATTCAGTGCATCAGCGATGAAGGGGACGGGAATAGCTCGTGATCGACAGTAGTTTGCTATTGGTACATGACTGTTGTAAGAGCCTGGCTCAGGACTGACGATATTTCCGAGTAGGGACTCTATTCCCTCTTATCATTCCATCATCGAGGTGAATATCGTACACACAGTACATACAACTATCCAAGTCATCTTTTTGACTATAGCCGTACTAAGTAGTACATGGCTACAGCTATGGCTGTATCGATCCGTACACATACTCGATTCCGTACACAATCTTGCACATGTCTGCCCATTCACGGCCAGACCTGTATCGTAACTCTTCTCTGGAAGGTGCGACTCTCTTCTGCAGGAATATCTACTATTGTACGGCATCTTATCCCGAGCACCTCTGGCAGACTGCAAGCTACTATAAAGCCCCAAGGGAAACCCCTGGTGTTTATCAACACCTTCATAAGTGGTCTAGTCACTAAATCCATCTAAGTAACCAGGTAGGCTCTCACAACTGTGGCCCCTATCCGTGTCACCCAACTACTGAACTGGCATGTGGTTGGATGTTCTCTACCGAGCCGTCCTCTGGCACCCTCTCCTCTATCGACGGTCCAATGCTAGACACCCTACTCCTGCACCATCAGTGGATCCCCTTTACCTCTTTAACTGCTTTCCTACAAGCCCTCACACCCCTTGCACCCAGGCCCCCACCGACTCCTACAGGCACAGATCAGCATGGACACCATTCACCAAGGTTCGGGACCAAACTCCTTGGTGACATATGTGGCCACCCTTGGTTGACTCATGGCCGACATACCCCACCGCCACGAGTTGGATCATGTGTTCCACTTCCCCAAAGGTCTCCACAGGGACCTCCATGAAGAGTCTACACCAGGCTTCCACAATAGGGGACCAATGCCAGCCTCCAAGCAATCATCGATCTGGTCATGGGCATCTTCTGGGGTGCTGCAACACTCACCTCCTCGACCATACTACCCTGCCATGCAGCTCACGGGGTGTCCACCAGGACGACCCCATGGACATAACAGCTGCAATCTACACGCCCACACCACACCACACCAAGCTGCCGCTCCCAAGCGGCATCAAAACCATCGGGGTCCCCCACAACTTGCGCTTACAGTGCATGGTGCAGCATGTCTGCCTCCAGTGTGGGGATGAATCACACACGAAGGAGCATTGCCTGGAGCTCCATCATCTCCTGGCAGCATCCACCACCTCTCAGCCCCACCCCTCCCGCCGCCACTCCTTTCAGGGAGCTACCTACAGCCGCAAGCCGCCCCGCCTGCCCGCTTGCTCTCCCGCTCCTCGACGTCCTCCATCTCTGAGGATCGACGATCCCGCAGCCGTCACCACCACGACGACAACCGCAACCATCACGGTCGCTCCCCATACCGCCACCGCGAGAGGCCCCACGGGCGCCGCACCAAGTATCACAGCGTTAACGACACGAAATCCCCTGCCCGCTCCCGCTCCCCAGGCCACCGCTAAACCGGCCCCTAGGCTGTCGTCGGCAGATCCGGTCAGCCACAGCCTGCCGACGTCGTCTGCTGTGCACCCGTCCGACAACGCCGCGTTCGACGTTCAACGTCTCGCTCAAATCGTCCGTAAGCCTGCCCGCTGTGTCGGCGTATAGTCTGCAATGTTACAACGTCGGGTCTATTACAAAGAATGATGGCTTGAACCGATCAAAAGTACAAAGGACCTGGTAGACTTGTCGAGTCACTGCGACGGCGAGAGACATTTCAGTTCAAGCCTGCTGATGAATGACAATAAGGCAGGCTGTATAGGAGTCCTGTAAAGCCATAAAATGTCACCGTACACCTATATGGGTTGAAACCGATCCAGGAAATGGTTTCTTCCTGGGGATCTCTTGCATCATCAGTGCCACGAAACACTATCGGCCTGTGTATACTGTAAGATGACCTGCGCGCGTTGGGGCCTTTACATGCTTCACCGTACTTGCGTCTAGAGCCCCAGGCTAAAATCCAGTCTTGCTAGACGTAAACTGACTTAGCTGACGGACATGCAAACCCTGTTGTAAGAATTGAGATCACCTAAAAAGGTTGCTCGCGGAACGTTTGTTACGCGGACAGCTGCTTTGGCCGACAACAGCAAGGCAACAAGTCTGGTTATAATGCTGAATTACATCAATAAGAAAATCAAATTTTTTACTGAGGCCGTTCACTCCCTTTGTAAGCCTTTATAAACAATTTCGCCAAACGCATCCGGGTTCGTGGCGTGTGCGCGTGGATCGAAACTAGTGGTGTGACTTATCTTTTTAAGCACGATGATGAATCATGAATAAGGAGCACCAATGACTACTTGCTTGTACAAGGAGGTATGCATTTGTGGGCTATGCGGTCCATGCCTTTGCAAGAGCAGTAGACGGATGCCTCAAACGTCGAACTTTGTTGAAGGACACCCTATCATAATGTAGCTCCATCACCTATGCCTGGGTAGCTCCAAGTCCCGGGTGACGGGCTTGGAAGCGGCTTTCGACCCGGCCGTACGGATTTACCGTCCTGAAGTTATTAATCTCCCTACGGGCCCTACACCCAGGGCGATGGCCATCACCTCCATAGGACATGCCACGCATAATCTCCGACACGCCTGCGCGCTGCGAGCTATCGGGAGTCCTCCCCCAACATAGTCTCCAATCCAACCCATCCGGCCAACATTTCCCCCAACCACCGTACCCCACCCCGCCACTGCCGCAGCGGCCCTATACACACACGCACACTTCTTTCCCCGGCATTCGTAATCTTGGCGACCTCTCTCTCCACGCGGTCCTCTGTCAACACCCCGCAGTGCTATCCCACCACCGGTGTAACACTCTGTGAAGCGGCCTACTTCACGCATCCTCGGAGTGCGCCGTCCAGCACCTCTGCAGCCGTCGCCGCCGCCGCTGCCGGTCCGGATAGCAGCAGCGGAGGCGGAGGCGCGCTTCAGCAACCCAACCTGATTGTTGTCCGTACAAACCGTTTGGAGGTGCACAGCCTCAGGTGGTGAAGGGCGTTGTGTAGTGGCGGGGGGGAAACAATGGGAAAGGCGGGGTTGGGGGTGGGGGGTCATGGTGAAGGTGTCGAGGAAGGTTGCAGTGCCTAAGTCCCCCAAACATTCAATACCGCTTTGCAGTACTGTTCATTCCCGTGTTTTATCCTGTCAAGCGAGCTTGAAGGCTCCGCAACACACACACAGAGAAGGAGAACGGAGCTAGCGGACCTGCGGCTCTCGGCTATGCTTAGGAGGGGGCAGGACAGAGGCCCCTCACGTCCCCATACCGTCAGCGGGAGAGAGCTAGGCGGTCTTTCCATTGGGGCTGGGCAGCAGTCCCTGTGGGCAGTGTCGTCAGGCTCGGTCAGATACTTGTAACGTTCACATTCATACACACTCACACTCTCACACACACACACACACACAATCACACACACACAATCACACAATCACACAATCACACACACATACATGAAATGGGACTCAAGGTCGATAGGTGTGAGATCGCGACGATACCATACATTGGCGTTTGTTCGTTTGTGCCTCGCCTCCCGCCCTCCCCCGGCCCCCCGCACCCGTACCAGGTCGTCAGCGGTAGCAACAAATGCCGCCGCCGCGACCGCTACTGCCGCTGCCACGGCCTCAGCTGCGGTTGGCAGTGGCGGCGCACGTCTTGAGCTGGTTGTGTCGTACCACCTTCACGGGGTAGTGGAGAGCCTGGCGGTGCTGAGCGGAGGCAGCTCCAGCAGGAGGGACGCGCTGCTGCTGGCGTTCAGGTGCACTTAGAGAGGTTGTTGGCCTCCCGGGGGGGATGAGTAGAGTGGAGTAGAGAGGAGAGGAGTGGAGAGGACGGGGGGATATGAGGCGAGGATATGGGCTTTAGGGAGTGTTAGGCTCTCACGTAGCAACAAAATATACAACACACCTACTACGCGTTTTCGGTTGGCTGACGTGGCGCTGTGTTTTTGCTTTCCACATTCCACATATGTTTCCACATATGTTTCTTACCCCGTACCCCGTTTCCTTACTTCCTTACCCCCTCCCCCCCGGTCTCGCTCCAGGGAAGGCAAGTTGTCGGTGGTGGAGTGGAATCCCAGGACGCACTCCCTCCGGACCTCCTCCCTTCACTACTTCGAGGGCGACCCGGGGGTGCAGCGCGAGGGGCGGATCGCAGTGCCGCTGCCACCTAGGGTGGTGACCGACCCGGCGGGTCGCTGTGCGGCCATGTCGTTCTGCTTCTCACAGCTGGCGCTGCTGCCGGCGCTGGAGGTAAAAGCGGGCGCGTGGCAGTGTGTGGATGATGGGGGTGTGATGGGGGTGGGTAGGGGGGAGCGGGAGCGTATCGGTGGCGTCCATATAAACGAGCGCCGAGCTAAACGAGAGCGCAATGCTGGCAAGCCGGCGGAACGAGAGCAGCAGCCAGAGCGGGTTCAGGTGTTGCACTTCCTACGCTGCTGGCTGCTTCGTCGCAACTGAAAGAAGGGGCGAGTACGGCATCGGCGGTACCGATAGTTCAACGATCCGCAGCTTATTCCTGAGATATACTTGTGGGGGGGGGCTGGGTGGAGGGGGGGGTGGGAAACGGCACAAGGGCGTGTGGTGTGGCGGTCAGGAGGTGATGGGCTCTCCCGCCGGGGCCTTTCCCCGGCTGATTCCACGCCTCGTGCACGGCCTTCTCACAAATATGGTATACACACACCAACGCCCTGCGCAACCTCCCTTTCCCCTTCCCAGGCGGATCCCCTGATGGATTTGGGGCCTAATGGCGGCGGGGGAGGCGGTGGAGGCGGTGGCGGGGTTGCCACGCTGGGTAACGGCTACCTGCTGAACCTGAACAAGATGATGGGAATACGGGAGGTTGGTACGGCAGCAGCCGATTGCAGGACAGAGACACGTGCGTGTCGTGGGTTGCAAAGGAACACGGCAGAGGACGACCGGGTTGGACGGGGAAAAGTGATCCGAAAGTCCTTTTGCAGAATCCGTCAGCTAAGGTTTCCCGCTCTCCCGTGTTGTGGGAGGGAGCGCTTTCCGTACGTGCACTGCCCACCTCTTCACCTGATTCCCTGCCGACCTGTCTGGTCGTCATCCTGCTCAGGGTTTTTAAGGCCATTTGCAGCATCTGTATATCTGCCTGTCCGTTCACCAACCCGGTTCATCTGTCTGTCTGTCTTTCTGTCTCTCTGTCTGTCTGTCTGCCCCCTCTATCTCTAGGTCCGGGACTGTGTTTTCCTGCACGGCTACACGGAGCCGGTGCTGCTGCTACTGCACGAGCCGGACCCTACATGGGTCGGCATGCTGCGGTGTGTGTGGGGGGGGAGAAGAGAAGGGGGGGGAGGGGGATGTGGGAAGAAGATCAGGCTGCCTGGGGGGGGGGAGCTCCCAGGGGGCCCTTATGTTGCCGTGCAGAGCGCACCCCCCAAAAGGGGCTGTTGGCGACGGGGCTTTGACTTTGGGGGGAAGCTCGGGGTCCCTGGTTTGTGCTAGGAGAGGTTGAAGGGGTTATGAGAGGAAGACGAATGAAGTGCCGGCTAGCGGTGGTAGCTGGACTAGAACGCAGGTGGAGCGTTAAGATGGGACGCCCCGGTTCTTCATTCTGGTGCTTCCGCTGCTCCGTGCACTTCATTCCCTTCGCCCACTGTCCCTTTGCAAACGGAAATATACCAAAGTGCGTTTACAACTTCACCAGATCTCTTCATGCTTGGTGTATGTATGTATGTATGTATGTATGTATGTATGTATGATGTCAGCACTTTTCCTGATCATTTCCACCGTGAATGTGCGCGTTCTCGTCTCAGTGGGTTTCCCAATGCAGAGCAGCGTACGGCAGGCCGTTAGGGCCCCAGATCGATGCCCTCCTATCCCCCTGGTGGGGTATTTATTCCCTCGGGGTCCATCCAGGGCTCTCGCTGCCTAATACCTACTACTATTTCGCTCTCCGTTTTTCTGTTTCCCCCCACTTTCATTTTCCGCCCCACCCCTTCCTGTCCCAGGGAGCGCAAGGACACGTGTTGTCTGGCAGCCATCTCCATCTCTCTGCGCCTCAAGCGGCACACCATTCTGTGGAAGCTGGCCTCGCTCCCTTACGACTGTTTCAAGCTGTTGGCAGTGCCGTACAGGCCTGCCGTACTGGTCATCAGCCCCAACCTGCTGCTGCTCTGCTCGCAGGTACAGTGCAGTGCGGTAGAAAAAGGGGGGGTCGTAGGGGGGGGATGGCGTTTCTGGCTAAGGGAGGTCGGTTTCTCATCGGGTTTTCCTAGGGCAACACTATTACACCATTTCAGCCGCTTAAATGTGGATTGTGGATTGTTTTGGGGTCGCGCCGGCACTTCCACGAACACAGCACGTCGCGGCTCGGGACAGTTCCATGATTACACGCGCCCACACCCAGCCGTACACACACGTTTCGACAACGAACAACCGTCTATGGATCGCTTCAGAGCACTTCAACCGCTGCCTCCATTACCTTTCTCTCTCACACAGACACACACGGTTCATTCCGATTCATTACGATTTGCATGGATGTGTGTGTGTGTGTGTGTCTGTGGCCCCCGCGGTTTCTTTCCTAAAAACCGGGTTTTGTCAACCGCGACGCTCGTCCAGCACGTGGCCGCCTGCGTATCCTGCTCTGCCGTATTAAGCCCCGACTAACTAACCAACTTGCCAACTAACCAACCAATTCCCAAATTAGTTGCGCAAGGAGGTGATATCCCTGTAGATCCCGGTACTGCTGCTCGAGGTACATCTGAGTCTTAACTAAATGTTCTCATGAAAAGGTTCTCATCAGCATGGGCAGCCGACAGCGGTCCCGGCCTCTCTGGGCTCTGACGGAATGGACACAGCCCTTCTCCTCCTTGCCTCCCTCCCTGCCTGCCTCCCTGCCTCACTCGGTGCTTCCTAACAATCCTTTTAATTTCTTCTTGGTTTGAATTAACAGAAACAAATAGCTGGAAGATTTGCGTTATGTCTATTTGGCCAGGCCGAATTACAAGACGCACTCCCCCGCTGTACCGCCAGGCCTCCCAGCACGCCGCTGCGCTCAACTCCAACGCCCTCCCTGGAGAAGTCCCCCCTCCGCTGATCCTGGATCCGAGCAGGGAGCCACCCGCCGCCACGGCTGCGAGATTGGCGGCCCAGTATGCCCTCAACGTGCATCCGGTGGGTACGTGCACACACAGACAGGGAGGCACCCACAGAGAGACAGACACACAGACAGACAGGGAGGCACCCACAGAGAGACAGACACACAGACAGACAGGGAGGCACCCACAGAGAGACAGACACACACAGACAGGGAGGCACCCACAGAGAGACAGACACACAGACAGACAGGGAGGCACCCACAGAGAGACAGGCACACACAGACAGGGAGGCACCCACAGAGAAACAGACACACAGACAGACGGACAGACAGACAGACACACAGACAGACAGATAGACAGGCAGATAGACAAACCGGGGGTTGCCAAGGAAGCCAAGGGCGCTTCAGCTCGACGCCCGCTAGTGGATGTCCAGCGCAACTCTCCTTCCCTCCCGGCCTTCCCAATCCTGCTCTCCACCACTACAACTACAACCAATGCCACCACCACCACCACCACCACCACAATCTCAACCGCCACAACCACCTTGAAACCCCTCAGGACTGCGCCCCCGCCGCTGGCCGTAACGCCACTCTCATGGCGGATCTGGAGGTGGTGGCGGCGGGTGCGGCGGCGGCGTGGCTGTCACCCACCACAGCCATCCTAGGTGGGCGGATGCCGGGAGGGGTGGGGGAGGGAATGGGGACCGCGGCCCCTGCTTCACGCTCACATAGGATCGGACAGGGGTGTTGGGCGGAAGGGGGAAGGGGGAAGTGCTGCTGCTGATTGATTATTAGAGCTGATTATTAGAGCTCTGGAATGCTTGCGTACTGCTTTGCCGTACCGTCATGCCGACGACTCGACCCGAATCCCCTCCTTATACCGCAGGTTTGCAGTCCGGCACCTTGCTGGCCGTACATCTGCAGTTCGAAGGACCTGCGGATCAGCGCATCACGGTCGTACGCACCGGGGGAGGGCCCATTGCATCGGCCATGGTCGGCATAACGATGGCGGCGGCGTCACGCACAGCTGCCGCAACCGGCGTCGCCGTCGGCGGCGGTGGCGCCGCCGCCGCGATGGCCCAGCCGTACGTGTCGTACAGGGGCCCTAAGGGTTTCATGTTTTTGGGCTCTTGGTCGGGTGATTCGGTGCTCATGCAGCTTCGACCCAAGAAGCCGGCGGCGGCAGCAGAGCAAGAAGACGGCGCCGGCGGTTCTTCGAAGGACCTCAAGCGGAATCGCGGTCAGGCGGGTGACGGCGACGGCGACGGTGACGGCGTTGCGACCACCGCCACGAACCGAAGCGCGGCTGTGGCGGCCGCGGCGGCGGCGTTTGCTGCTACGGCGGCTGCAGCCGACGCCGCTGGTGCTGCCCCTCGCTACAACCTTCGCCTGCTGGACTCCTTGCCTTCTATGGGTACGGCCGTACGACACGTGCCTGTGTGGTTCCCGCTAGCCTTGGCTTTTACCTGTGGTTTTCCCTCGCATTTCCGTGCACTTCCCGAAGGAATGATGTTACAATGGGTTCTAAAAGTCATCCCAAAAGTGAATTTGAGTCACTTTCTGCAAGGAGGCGTACAGGGTAACAGGGCAAAGCTCTTCCCACACAGCCGCCCCTTCATCCGTTTCTCTGAAGGATCCCCTCAGCTCTGAAGCCCCCGGGTCCCCGCAACCCCACAACACGCACAAGAGGCCAAGTTTCCTTTGTTGAACATCTCGCCGTACTGCTCTGCTGCCGTACTATTTTGCGGCCGTACAAGGCGCAATGACGACAAGGGCCGTGTTGCTTTTTCCTCCCCTTTTCCGCCTCACTTACTCTTCCTGCCTGCCTGCCTGCCTGCCTGTCTGCGTACTCCCGGCACAGGTCCCGTCCGCGATCTGCTCTTCGCGGACACGTCAGTTTCGTCGTACACGGCTAGCAGCGGGGGCGGCCCCGAAACCAGTCGAGGCGGTCCCACCTGCTTCGCGTGTGTAGGACAGGTGCGACGTTTGGCTTTTAAGGGCCGTTGCTATTAACTAGCGAGCAGCAGTGTTCAACTATTTAAAAGTAATCGATCCCTTCAAAATATTAAACCTAGGGGTGGTGTTCTCGGCCCTACCTAAGCCCCGCGGCCCGGTCTGCCCCATCAGTCGAGGGCGCAAACCAGGCAAACAGCATCACTGAACATTATAATTCAGCACGAGGTGGGCTCATTATAACTGTTATATCGACGGGGGTTGTGGAACCCCTCTTGAGCAACAGGGTCAAGGACAAGGGAAACATTTTCAGCTTGATCTGGGCAAATCATTCCTTGGTTTAGAATGAATTGCCCTCAAAGGTCGCCTCGATTAGGAAAACATACATTGGGATGATGATAAAGTGCATTGGTACGGTGTACGGTGTACGGCACTGACCCGGCTTCGGCATGTTTGTGTTGACTTTGTTTGACCAACCAGGGCCAGACGGGCGCTATTGTGATGGCTCGTCAGGGCCTTATCCCGGATGTGCTGACGGAGGTGAACTTGCCGTCCGTCGCCGGCGTCTTTGCCGTATACCACCGTACGGAAGACGATGGTGACGTGGCGGTCGCGTTCAATCCCGTCGATGGTGCTGATGGCGCCGCCCCTGCTGCCCCTGATGACGACAACGATGACGGCGAGGCGGATGGTGGCCGGCGGGCAACGGTTGAGCTGACGCCGGAACCGCCGGAGGTCGACGTCACCGCTGGCGATGTGGAGATGCCGGAGGCGGGAGGCGTCAAGACCGAACCTGCACCCCCTCACAACAACAATGCCGAGCCGGGTCCCATCGCAATCGCACCCGCTACCGAAGCAGACTTGCCGGCGTCGCCGAAAAAAGCTAGAGATGTCGTAGGCGGCGGTGGTGGTGGTCGTAATGACGGAGCCGCCGCTCGGCGCCAGGCGCCTCCGTCGTCGCTGGTGGCGGGGGAGCCACCACCGCCGCAACGACCCACGGGTCCGCCCTTCCACGCATATCTTCTCATTACGATGGGACGCGTGAGGACGATGGTACTGCGATGTACGGACGGGCTGGATGACGTCACTAACAGGTATGCTCGTCGTATGCGTGTCATCGTGTGGGATCATTTCTGTTGTATGATTGATGTGTGTCGTACCCAATATCGTACCGCTTCCCACTACTGAGCGACCCTCCGTGCCGGTGGCCCCCCGGGCGAGCATGTTTGGGCGCCACCGTTTCGACCGCCCCCTCTCCGCCTTGATCGCACTTCAGTTAGCTTCAGTCCTTAGCCTCCTTAGCCTCAATAGCATCAATAGATATCTGGTCTTTCCCTAGTCTTTGTTCTTTTAGTGCAGTTTGTTTAGTTTTCCTTCTCTCGCGCCTTCCCGTAGTGCACTGGGCTGCTTTGCACTGCGCTGCACTGCACGGCCTCACAAGCAACAGGAACAGGCGTGCAAGGAACCCTTACCCCAACTGCCAACAACATGTATCTTGCTCCGTTTGTTGCTTCCTGCACACGGCACACGCTGTCCCCTTCCCCCGCTGCTCTCCCCCCCACCCGGTGAACCAACACCACAACATCGGCACGGCCCCCGGGCAGCCCCGAATGCGAGTTCCTCGTGAATCAACCCACGTTGGCTGCAGGCAACCTCTTTCACAATGCAGTTATCGTACAGGTAAGTGCCATACATGTCGGCATACTGGTGGCCTTGCCGGCACGTGGCTTATGTTTGTACTCTGCTGCTGCTGCTGCTGCTACTGCTACTGCTGTTGCTGCTGCGGTGCTGCTATCCGGCTGTTGCGGTTCGTGTTGTATTTCGGTTTGGGGCAGCGGGGCCGTGGGCCATGCCGCAAAGGGAGGGGTGGTCGGAACGGAGTGCGGGGCGGAGGGAAAGGAGGGGGACGGAAGGAGGTAGGGAGGGTGACGGAAGCTGAAAATTTCAGGCAGAATGGCGCGAGGAAGGGGTGACACCTGCTTTCTACTACGCGACCCCATTCGCGCAGCCGGTGTCTCGCCCCGCCCAGTCGCTGAACCCACTCCGCTCTCTCCACCCCTCCCGTCCCCCCCCCATCTCATCGTACTGCAATGTCCTGTACGACCCGTTAATCCCCACCTCCCCCTCCGTCGGGTCGCGATTTTTTGCCGTTTTCCTGCCACTATCCCGCCCTGGCATTCCCTTGTCCTGTTGTTCCTACGTCCAGGTTTACTGAAATAGCCCGTACCCTGCGTTGCAATATCCTTTCCCTTCTTTTCATAGCCCCGCCCACACCGTTCCCTCCCTGTGACAGGCATGTCCCATGGGTCTGCGTGTGTTGGAGGGCATGACCCTGGTGCAGGAGCTGCGTGTCAGCGACTTTCAGGCGAGTCGGCCAGTGGGGGCCCGGGGGGCCCACGGCTTCATGCCTCCAAAGTAACGGAAAGGGTAGCTAGGTTATCATCATGGTGGTGGTGGTAGTGAACAATCTGATGAAGCAGACAGCTCTACCGATGTGTGACGGTGTGGCACACACGGTTTGAAGAACGAGGGTGTACGGTTGAAGGGGTTGCTGGTGCTTAATGACAAGTGACTGGGGGGTGACTGTAGGGGACCCCGGTGAGCAGCAGGTAGGCGGGCGAAAGAGGGTGTGTGCGCCTAGGGAATATCAGACTTGTGCACCATTGTACTGCAATTGTAGGGGCGAACCGTCTCAGAATGCGACGAGAAAAGATGTGTAGATGTCGTGTCCCGACCAACACAACGATTCCGTTGCCACCTCTCGCTGCTGCTGCTGCTGCTACTATCACTGCTGCTGCTGCTACTGCTACTGCTACTGCTACTGCTACTGCAACTGCAACTGCAACTGCAACTGCTACTGCTGCGCCCTCCGCACAGGCGCTGGGCACAATGGCGGCGTCGCGGCCGGCAGGTGCATCTGGACCCACTATCACCTACATGCAGGTCTGATCGGGGAGGGCGGGGAGGAACGCGGCTCATGAAAGGGCTGGGGAAGTGAACTAACGTCGTTGTGGTGTCAGTGCAGTGAACTCAACCTGACCCAGCCGCCGAAGGCCCCCCCTCTCTCTCGTCCACCTCGTAGAAGACAGCGCAGTATTCTTTTTGCTGTCGTACAAAGCATCCCATTGCCCATCGCGCTATGGGCCCTATTCCTCAGGCTGCTGATCCGTACGTATTGGTGGGGCTGAGCGATGGTACTGCCGTACTGTTGGAGGGTGATCCGCTGTCTTTAACTCTGGGAGTGGCGACGGCGGCAGCGGAGCAGCTCATGGCCGTGCCGGCGAGAAGTCGGCAGCAGCGGCTGGCGGCGGCATGCCTACATAGAGATGAAACGAGTTGGATGGCGAGCGCAACGGCAGCAGAGGCCGCCAGCAGCGGCAGTAGCTTCAGCATTTTCTTATGGATCTGCCGCCTTTCAGGTCGGCTTGAGTGCTACAGCTTGCCATCCATGCGCCTCGTGTTTCATAGCTCCGGGCTGGCAGCGGCGGAAGAGGTGCTGCGGATGGGCCCTGCAGTCATGTACGACGTGTACGACCTGTTTGGCGGCGGCGGCGGTGGCGCGGAGGCAGAGCTGGATGGCGGCGGCGGTAGCGGCATTATGGAGGACCCAGTTGTAGAGCTCCGAGTGGAATCGTTCCTGGTAGGGTTCGATGTGCGGATGTGTGTACATGCTATATTACATGCCTCTGTTTTATTCCTTTATACACGCGGATTCGTATGCTCATATGCTCGTATGCATGTATGCCTTCATAAATTATTTGTGGTCGTGTATGCAGGTCACGTTAATACCTACGTTGCTGATTCATGTCATGGCGTATCTTGCACATAAACCTCTCGTATTACCCATACTGTACATAAGGCCCCCATATTGCTTGCCCATGCAGTCTTTTCTGACGTGTTTCCACCTCGCCCGCCTTCCTGCAGGGCGGCGGCTCCCCGGCAGTCCCCGACTGTGAACGCCCCGTGCTGCTGGTCATGGCGGCCTCGGGGAACCTCGTGGCCTACCAGGTGTGCATGTGCAAGTGCATGTGTATGGAGTAAGATATTTGGGGCGGGTTAGTGTCGGATGACGATATGATCGATTGGCTTGCAAGCAGGCCAATTCCAGGGGCCCCAATCTCGGCCAAGTTTAGGCGGCAGTTATGGCTGCGTGGCCTCACCCGAGGCTGAGCACGGGTCCATCGGATTTCGGGTCGGATGGAAAGGGACCAGGGGGTTATGGTGGCGAAATACGCGCGTGGATGGGTATGTTTGCCGTTCGAAAAATCGGCGGGAGCTACCTAGTGGCTCCCGCATGTCCGTGAGCTTATCCCAGCAGATGTGCTGCTGGACCCTAGCGGCGAGTCGTGCCTTCGCAGGACAGCCCTGGGAGCTGAGGATCTGTGCGAGTTGTGCGCGCTGCGCAAGGTGGAAGACGAGCGACATGTTCTTGTAGAATGCCCAGCGTATTCTGCATGTCGCGAGAGCTCGGACGTGATCCATAACAACGATTCCGATATGAATACGAATGATGGACGGCGAGCAAACAAAACTGGTCCACCTGGTACATGCTATTTGGCTTACGCGCTCGTCTCTACGCAGGCGGTCATAGTTGACTACTATCCTTGTTTTGCCGTGTTTTATTGCTTGAGTACTAGAACCCAATGTTTACCAGCTTCAGCTCGTCATCCGCTACCATCACACCTTTCATAGCCTCTGATCCGCCTGAAACCCGACAGATAGGCCCCCCGTGCACGAGATATGATATGTGCCGGACAGTAAAAAAAACACGGCTTTCGTCCTCGTCCCGACAGGCCTTCAACCCCGCCGCAGGAGGCTCGGGACCGCTGCCGCTGCGGCAGCACCTGTTGACAGAAGGACTGGCGGCAGCGGTGGCGGCTGCGGCGACCCACGGGTCAGCCTCCGTACCGCAGATCGCCCTTCGTCGCCTGCCGCTGGACTCGCTATCTCACGAGGCACCCGCGGCCATGGGAGCCGCTGCCGGCAGTAGCGGCGGCGGAGGCGGCATTGGCGGCGGTGCGGCGCTGGGCCCCCGTATGGCGCGCTTCGACCACCTGGCGTATACAGATCCGTCCTCGAAGGTGGGTTGGGGAGCTACCGGAGGGTTTTGAGCACTAAGGGGGGGGGGCCATCAGGGTGGGCTTAACACAGGTGGGCCACAAGGCTGGTTTCGTGAACACATCCACACACACACAGTCACACAGTCGCACAGACATCCGCAAATACCCGGTTGCGGTGGGCGGTGGGCGGTGGGCAGCTGTGGCACAGAACGCTGCTCCCCTGTTCCTCCCCCATTCGCAAGGCAAGACGAGGCTGCCACAACGAATGAAGAATCAGCTCTGTTCGTGTTTTCCCTTTGGGGGCCGGGGGGAGAGGAGTAGCAACCAAGGAGGGCGCCAAGGGTTAACTCGCAGGGAAGCTCACACGCTCTGTGCCGAGATATTCCCTCTCCTCATTAGCCTCGCTTTCCATCCCATAGTAAACTCCGCCCCATTCTCCCTTGGGGCTCAACCTCAGTCCCCTCGGGTCGCGGTTCGATTCTCCTCCGCTCCGCCCAGTTGGGACGTCAGCAGCCCTCCTGACCCTTGGCCTCTTGTGTCGTACGATTTCCGCCTTTCCTCGCCCTGGCTTTGGACGCACTAGGCAGTTTCGGGCTTTGAACGCCTTCCGGCAGGCAGTGCATTTCTGAGTTTCTTGGATCATATGATTCCGTTTCCCCCGCCCCCTGTCCGGCCCCGCAGTCCCAGGGTACTTCGTACAGTGGTGTGTTCGTGGCGGGATCCCGACCTCTGTGGCTGGTTGCCTCCAGGGGGGGGTTGGTGCCTCACCCCATGTTCGCGGAGGGAGCGGTGGCGGCCATGACGCCGTTTCATAACGCCAACTGCCCACTGGTGAGTGGGCGGGTGGGGCACGGAGGGGATACCCTACGTGTGCGTGTGTGTAATGCGTGTGTTTTAATTTACTGGTCTGAGGCTCACGAGGAGGGAAATGCCGATGGATGGTGGTGCACAAATAACTTCACCAACCAAAGCGAGCCCCGATTAGTCACACCAAAAGCGACGTGTTGGGATAGCGGTGCTGTAGAGGCGAAGGGTGTGTGAGTGCGTGTGTGTGCGTCCCCGGCTGTCCCCCTCCCATCCTCCCTCGCCACCTTCCCGTACACCACACCGGTACCCTAACCCGGCGTGCCGCAGCCACACGTCTTTCTCCTCCCCCCTAGTCCCTCTCTCTCTCTCCGTCCCCCTTCTGCTCCCCGCTCCATCCCCTCCCCGCCTGCCCTCACCCCGCCCCTCCTCCTCCTCCTCCACCTCCTCCCCACCAGGGTTTCATCAGCGCTTGCAGCTCCCGGGGTCTGCTCAAGGTGTGTCAGCTGCCGCCCCACACCCGCCTGGACACACCCTGGGTCACCCGCCGAGTGCCGCTACGAGTAACGCCACACAAACTGGCGTGGTTCAGGGACGCGGGGCTGATGGCGGCCATCACTTCGCGAGTGGTGGTGAGCAGGTGAGGTGAAGGGGGGAGGCGGGGAATGGCGGGTTAGCTGAGGGCTAGGTCATCTATCTAGGCACCGAGGCCTCCAGGTACGTTCTAGAAGGTCAAGGCGTCGGCTTCCGCTGCTGCTGCGGCTGCTGTGGCTGTGGCTGTGGCTGTGGCTGTGACGGCCACTGCAAACAGTAACATAACACAATAACTGCAATTAGCTTCCACTGCTGTCATATCAACTTAATTCGGTTTACATACAATTGGATCTTGTTAACCGTACCAAAACCGTATTACAACTGCTCGAACGCGCTGGTATTCGTTTGGCTAACCGTACGCCCCGTATCAGGCCACGTCCCCCGGAGGAGCCCGGGGGGGACGCCCACGCGGCCGCCGCGTACGCCGCTGCCGCCGCCGCCGCCGCGGGTCGGGGTCGTGAGGAGGCCTGGGAGCTGCGACTGCTGGAACCCAACGGGTGCGGCCGGCTGTGGCTGTCTCCGCTGCTGCCCCCGGGGGAACAGGCACTGTGCCTCAAAGTGATTTACCTGCAGAACGCAACCACGGGTGAGTGGGTGGCTGGGTGGGTGAGGGGATGTGTACTTGTAAGCGAGCATCCTTACCTCCCTAGCTCCCTACCTCCCTACCTCCCTACAGATATGAGCCCTATGTTGCTTTACACCGTCGCCATGGTAACCAGACGTCTGCGGTTTTTCCTCGCCCATGCGGCGTACATACAAACAGACATGCTTATACACATAATACTTCCTTAGTTATCTACTTCTTACCCAAACCGAACTGCACAGCCGTCCAGCCACCCAAACTCTACTAGCAGTTCAGAGTCCGAGACACCACCTGATGAGAAGGCAAACGGCAGTAGCCGCTGTGCGGCAACTGCAGTTCCGCGGCCTGCAAGCCCGTGCGTGTACGGGTTTAGAGTAATCACGTCGTGCGCTTGTCAACCCACCCTTTACGTTGTTTCCTTAAAAGTTGAGGTTCCGGGCACATCTCACGCTCACTGTTTGAGTTAAAGTTAGTGACAAGGTTGTGACAAAGTTACAACTGGGCTTGACCTTTACTACCACTCGTACATCCTTTCAGTGCCCCAAGTTGCACTCACTAGGGGCAGTTTTGGACCTCTTGGACACCACCGGCAAAGTTCACTTCCCCCCACTTCCTCGCATATGATGATGCCCCCCTCAACTTCCCCTCCACTCCCCCTCGCCTCATCCGCGCGTGCCCCTCCTCGCGTGCCCCGATGGGTCCTTCGTGTCCCGAACCGCTCAGGAGACACGGATGCACTCCTGGCTGTGGGCACTGGCAGTCCCATGGGTCAGTTGGGGGGAGGGAACTGGAGGTTTCGGTTGCCGAGGGGGCGAGTGGCGGGCAGTGGCGGACTTGTAGTGCACCGTCAGTGTGAGAGGGAAGGTGCAGGAAGAGGGTGTCGGGGCGAGAGGCCGCCAGGTGGGGGAGTTGCGAGGTGGAGTGTATGGTGGTGGATGGAAGCTAGCCAAGTGAAGCAAAAACTTGCTGTGGTGGTGGTGGTGTGGTGATGGTGATTCCACCAACAGACGGGTGCTTTACTTGTTGGTGACGTTTTCCAGTTCGTATCATGGAGCGTAGTGTCCTTAGTAGTCCGCTTTGCAAACTCCCACCCCTTAGTGTTCTCCCCCCTCCCCCTTCCAGCTTCACTCGTTTGTGGTTCGTCTTTCTCCCCCTTCCTTTCACTCGTTCGTGGTTCGTCTTTCCCCCTTCCCTTTCCCCCACTCCTGTATTCGCTGCTGTTGCTGTTGCTGCTGTTGCTGCTGCTGCTGCTATTGCTGCCGGTGCTGTTGTTGCTGGTGCTGCTATTGCTGTTGCTGCTGTTGCTGTTGCTGTTGCTGCTGGTGCTGGTGCTGTTGTTGCTGGTGCTGTTGTTGCTGGTGCTGCTATTGCTGTTGCTGCTGTTGCTGTTGTTGTTGTTGCTGGTGCTGTTGTTGCTGGTGCTGCAGGTGAGGACTATCCCTGCCTGGGCCGCATCCTGCTGTACACCATTTCCGCGGAGGTGGTGGACCTAGGGGGGGGCAACCTCACTCGCAGGTGCGTAGGGGCTCCAGGGAGGTGGGTTGGTTTGGGCTGGGGGAGGACGTGTGGAAGTACGTCACGTAAGATGAGGTGGATGGATCGGCGGGCATGTGAGAGGGGTGGAGTGGATCTGGGGACTTGGGGCTCCCCTCGCGCTGCGGTGTGCTGCACGGGTCGCGGGTTAATGAGCTCTGTGGAAATGTGCTTTTGCACGTGTTCATGCACGACACCAGATACGTGTCCGCGAAAAAGGAAGGTTACGTTGCGGTTTCCCAACACGAGAGCTGCGCTACTGGCTGCAGGATTGGGGGATGAGGGTGAGGGGGTGTTGGGTTCGTTTGGGGAGTTATGTATGGGGAGGGGAGGGGAGGGGAGGGGATGTTGGGGCTTCATTGTGCTGGCAGGCAGAGGCGCCCGGTGGCGGAGAGGGGGGTGGGCGGAAGGGGACGTGGGCGGAAGCGCCACACGGTGGGGGAAGCGATGGCAGTGGGTTGCAGCGGAGGATATGATCGCTGCCGTCGAACCGATACGCCGTTTGCTTTCCCTCCCAACTACCCCGTTCGTACGTGTTCAGATGGAGTGCCGTACTGGTGGCCACCCGGGATATGGCGTCAGCGGTGACCAGGTAAGCGAGCTGTGGATCCTCACGACCACGCGGTGTGTGTGCGTGTGTGTATGTCTGTATGTCTGTATGTGTTTTTATGTGTGTGTGTCGGGGGGTGGGATGTAGACCCTTGCCGGGTGCTGTCCTCAGGCACCAGGTGTTCACCTGCTCGCGCTTTGCATGTTGCGGGTGTCCAAGGTCGTTGGTAGGTAGGACGAGCGTCCATCACGATGCACGTGCCGCTGGACCCGCTACCACGCAGCGGGGCCCCGCGCGGATCGTGCAGGTCCAGGCGGCTCACCCCGGTCCCTAGAAATCCTGCGCCTCTCCCACACGGATTAGTCTGCGGTGCCTCTCCGTACCATTTTCATCTTCCTCTTCCTGTTTCTCCCACTCCCCTCCTGGTCATGGGTCTTCATCTTCACCCTCGTCTCCTATTTCCTGCACAACCGGGCCCACCCCCCACACCCCGCCTTTCGGTCAGTTCTTTCGGTTGCTACTATCTTGCCCTGGCAGCAGCTTCAATCGCGTGTGGTTCGTCTTCCCCCACACCCCGCAGCGTTCAAGAGTTCAAGTCCCAGCTGTTGGTCACGTGCGGCAGCCGCATCGAGATGTACGAGTGGCGAGGGCCGGCGGCGGGAGCGAGTGGCGGTGGCGGTGGCGGGCCTGGAGGGCGGCTGGAGAAGCGTGCCTTTTTCGACCTGCCCAGCCTGGTAACGAGCCTGGTGGCGGTCAAGGACTACCTGTTGGCGGCGGATGCGAGCCAGGGGCTGTACTTTGTCAGATACTCGGTAAGCGGGATAGCGGGGGGGCGGGGGAGGTGGGGAGCGGGGGAGGTGGGGAGCGGGGGAGGGGGGGAGCGGGGGAGGGGGGAAGCGGGGGAGGTGGGGAGCGGGGGAGGTGGGGAGCGGGGGAGGTGGGGAGCGGGGGAGGGGGGAAGCGGGGGAGGGGGGGAGCGGGGGAGGGGGGGAGCGGGGGAGGGGGGGAGCGGGGGAGGGGGGGAGCGGGGGAGGGGGGGAGCGGGGGAGCTGCGAGTTCAGGGAGGAGGATAGCTGGTGTCGTTAGGTGCATAGTGCGCCACAGTGGGGGGGCGCCGTCCTTGCGGGAGCTCTTTCCCAACATCCCCCCCCAGCCACTGTCGCAATGATGCGGAACATTAAAGAACATCAGCTGTTGCTGGGGGTGGCTGATGTGATGATTATGGTGGCTTTGGCCTCCAGCGCCTCTTCGTCTGCTGTTCGATGACCCCTCAGTCTCTGCTCTCCCCGGCTTTGCACCTCCTCCACCTTAACCCACGACTTGGGTCGTTCGTCTTCGATTTGGGTCTTCATTGATGACCTTCATTACCACCCACTCGTCAGGACTCCGCCCGCGTGTTGGAGTTCATGTCCAAGGACTTCGACCACCGGGACGTCCTGACTGCGGGTGTGGTCATCAACGAACCCAAGCTGGCGTTCCTGGCAGCGGACGCGGCGGGGAACCTGGCGCTGAGCGAGTTCTACGGTGGGGGCTGAGGGGCTGGGGGGCTGGGGACTGGGGATTAGGGTTTTATGATAATTTAAAAAGTTCCTAGGGTTTGCAAAATAAGCCGTATGCCAACATGCAGATGTTTTTCATTCTGGACACGTACTGTCTTGCTTCATCCGATTTAGGGTTGGATAGTCCCGGGGCCACATGGCTTACATGGGTTTGAGTGGATGCATGTAATCCTGTCCTGGTGTGTGTGAGCCATGGTGGTGCTGGCGACGGTGGTGTTGCCTCCATCGTCTTTTCCCGTAGCGTTTCTCAAACCACTCTACCCTCGGGGGTGAAACGAGGTCCGCGGGAGGGGAGCTGTGGGCTGGCGAAGCTGTGGGGTGGTGGATTGGTGTCGCGTCTCCCTACGGCAACATCTCGAATACAATCCCCATGGGTTGCCACCTTACCACCTCTACTGCCGTACCGCCACTGCCGTACAGGCAGCCGCAATACCAACCCTGAGTTCTGGGCGGGTCAGCGATTAGCTCCCTTGGGGCTTATGCACGTGGCTCGCCGCCTCAGCTGCTGTGTGTCCATCAAGATGCCTACAAGCGATGGAAAGAACAGGTGAGTACGTGTCGTGTCGTGTCTGCAGAGCCATTCAGGGTTTTAGGTGGAGGGTGTACGGGAGGATGGGAGTATGGCAGCAGCGGCGGGGAGTCGGGGAGGGGGTTTTAGCGGCTGATGTTTTCATGTGGTTCACATGCTCTCTCTACTTCACAACCGGCATTCAGCAAGTCGGGCGTCACAAGGGGCGACCTCAGCCAGTCCATCCTTCGATTCAGAACCTCCTACACACCACCCGTACCACGCCGTACGACGCCGTACCCGCGCGCACCCGGTTCTTGCCTACACAGACACGCGCTGCTCTGCGGTGCAGCGGAAGGCGGCCTGTCGTACATCGCGCCCGTGCCTGATGCGGAGATGACGCAGCGGCTGCTGGCGCTCCAGAACCACATGTCCCGCAGATTACCACATGTGGCCGGACTCAACCCGAGAGCATTCCGGTGAGGGGCAGGGGGATGTGGGTGGGGGGGATGTGGGTGGGGGGATGTGATGTGGGTGGGGGGGATGTGGGGGGATGTGGGGGGATGTGGGTGGGGGGATGTGGGTGGTGGCTTCCGTACGTAGGGAGTTGCGTTTGGGAATACATGTATGCGAGTGGGTGCGGATATTATTACATTCCTTAGCGCTCTCATGCGCGTAATTAACTACCTGGTTGCGTTTTCACTGCACGAACCTCTCTTCACTTTCCTGGGCAGCAAATGCAAAAGGCGCAGGACGGGGCGTGAGCACATTGTTGCTTTTTGGACACAAGCACCGGTATCGGTCCGATAGATGATACACGACACGTATCTGTCCTGCCTCTGTCCCGGCTTATGTCTCTAAATACCCCCACCACACAACCCCTCACGCATCCCCTCCCTAAACCCGTTCCCCGTCCCTCTCCCTCTTGCCCCAGTTCGTTACTTCGGACGTGTCGGCAGTTGACTACTCCTTCCCTTTTGCCCCACCTATTGCTCCCCCTCGGGAATGTAACAAACCCAACCCTCATCTTGTTCTTCAACACATGCATGGCCCCCTTTCCCTTTTCCAGACATCGCTTCTGCCGTATTCCGAAGTCGCTAGGCGGTGGCCAGTCCCACCACGCTCCTCCGGCCCCGGCATCCAACGGCCTCCTGGATGGTCAGCTGCTGCTGGGCTTCCCGCTGCTGAGCCGGCAGCACCAGGGCCAAGCAGCGGAGGCACTGGGGGTGACCGTCAGGCAGATTATGTCGGACCTGCGGGTGGGGCGCATGGGCTCTTGGGCGGGAGGCGGAAGAGCTGGGTGCTGGGGAACGGAGTGCAGCATGTCTCAGTTTGAGGGGGAGACAATACCGACTCAGATATGGCCGGCCGGAGATGTGGAGGCTCCGAATCTAGAACTGACCAGTGGTTCTGGGGCTACACCTGATATGCATGTACCTTTCCGGTCCTGTAATCTGTTCTTTTAATGTCTGGCACTACTGCCTAACACTGAATTAGGGTCTGCTGCCACCACCTCTTTCCCTCTCCTGGTCCCTACCCTCTCATATCCTGTCCCTTTCTCCGCACTGCCCCTCCGTCCCATCCGCGCAGGCCATTATCACGGCGGCTACGTTGTGTTGAAGTACAGCAGAATGGGCACCTGCCCGCTTTCAACTGGGTTTGGGGTAGCTGGCTTGACTGCGGGCTGCTGGTGGCAAGGTCGTGAAAGCCGGGGGTCTGACGGATGGCCCTCGCCTTGGCTTGGTAGCCAGGGATATTGAAGAATAGGCGTGAAAGGGTTGAGGATGAAAATCAGGTAATAACTTTTTAAAGAGAAACACACCGCCTATGCTGTGGATGCTCTTTTCGCTTCGTCTCATTGCTCGTCCAGCTCGTGTCGTTGCTTCCCATCTGCTTCTTGGTCATGTCCGTGTCCCTTGAACCCGAAACTGGACCGTCTGTAAACGTGCATGCACTTGTGCTACGGCGTTCATTGGAGTGGGCAGCTAGGCAGCTAGATAGGCAGGGTTGTACCAGCAGGCAGCTACAGCATGATCTGCCGGCGGAATGAGCCTGCCCGGATATTTAAATGAGCGGACTATGGACCCTCCCCCTCTGAAGCGAACCGTCCTGGGAGCGTCACCTCTTCTTGCGTGTAGAAAGAGCTCTACGTTTCGGCGGTTCTGGGGTGGTGCTGCCAGAGGGGAGGCAACCATGGCCAATTTTCCTCCCAAAGCAGTTTGCCCAGTTTTCACCGACAACCGTCGTTCATAGTCGTCAATGGCCTCGGCAAGGGGAACTGACCGACACCGAGAGTCTTCCGGTTCATAGGTGCCATGACTTGCCTTCCCACTTCACCAGATATCCCTGGCGTGTTTTGCCACTTCCACCTTGGACCCTGACATCACGATGGTCAAATAGTGCACCGACCCTAAAAACCTACTGTAGTTCTGGGAGCAAAGTGTCATTTTTGGGCGGGGCCCCAGCGCGAAGCGCCCAGGGGGGCCCCGCCCTGTAGGATTGCCCATGTCCGTGTGTGCGTGTGTGTGTAACGGACCAAACATAATATCTATGCCGGCTGAAACGCGTTATAGGTACTATATAGCATTCTCTATCGCAAGGTATCTCGCATGTAGCTAACAAAGATCGTATGAACACAAACAACTTTGGCTGCCTCCATTGACCGAGCTCATAGTCACATCAACGCCTCTCGGGCTAAATTTCATCTCAAAAAGGTGCCGTGTATCTCATCATTGATTTCCGAGATGACAGCGTATGATAACTTGAACACCCAGCTTGTGTTACCATTTGCCCGCACGGGCATTCCGACTTGCCAGCAGCAGGCCGACAAATTTGCTTACATTTCTCTATGAAATACGCAAGCTGCTCATTTGTACATTTACTTTAGCCAATGCTCGGGGCCTCCGGAGACTTGCGGTGTGCCCCGATGAAGCCCGCGGCTGTGGGGCGGATTGCTGAGGCCGCTGGCGCTTCGGGGATAAACATCACAGACAGCACCGAAATTCACCCAGCTTTCGTTACCATTTGCCCGCACGGGCATTCCGACTTGCGGTCTGCCGCACTTTCCATGCGGCATGCACCCGGGATGGATGCGATTCGCGTGGAGCCCGCAGGCGGTGCTGACGATTCCGCCGGTGCAAGCTTAGCTCTCACACCATCAGCACTGCTGCAACAAAGCACATCTCCCACCGCGTTGACACTACCCATCAATTGTCGCACGTGCCGCGCTAGCTACCGGCCTGTACGGATGCAGGGGGGGCCCGCCCTTTTTCCGGCTTCGAGGAAGCCGACACCCGACTTGTCCTCAGCTGAGGTGGTCCTCACCTGCAGGTGGTCCACGAGCACTAGTATCGCTCATGCCCATTGCGGGTTAGTGATAGCTGTATGACCAAATGTATGACCAAATCCAATTTTGAGTGCAAATTGGGTTATTTCCCTGCTGCAGGTCCAGGGAGCTGAAAAGGTTAGCCCCTTGGAGCTGACCAAAGAGTTCGGTAATGTTTGGCATTGGATACCGTCTCTTGATATTTATTTTATTCAGAGCTTGATAATCAAGGACCATACGAAGGCCGTTGGCTGCCCTTTGGCTTTCTCCATAAAGATAACAGGTGCACCAGAAGGCGATAAAATAGGCTCCATGTAACGTTTTGGTGAAAGTTCTGTAACCTGTTTTACGCAGCTCTTGTTGCTCAAATTCAGTCAACTGGTACGATCATTTTGCTGGTGGTACGACGGAATTGCGTTACCTCAGGCGGATGGCCGTTAAGCTCTTCAAATAGGGGGGTCCTTGTGAAGCAGCTGCCCGCGTTTCCAAAGCCCGTATGGTGTTGGATTGTAAGGTGCCCAAGTACGTTTGCGAGGAAGAGAATGTGGCCAGGCTGGAGAGGAAAGTGCAGTGGCATATTGGAATGTGAGATTAGCGTAAGCGAGTTACAGGGCGTTTGGCGCACGGGCGAATTTACGTGCATACCTTTCACCGTAGCATCAGTCCTCAGTTCACTTTTTGGAACGAACATCAGCATAGGTGCAAGCCCTCTCGCTTGGAGGGATATGCAAACAAACATCCTGATAGGGGTAAACTCGCACGCTACCGAGCATTCAACCGAGCACATGCATGCTTAGTTGAATGGTGAGATGCGCCCCCCCCCTTCATTTCGTGCTCGGCAAGCCTGCCACCGCGTACCGGATATGTTAGCGATGTTACAGAGACGCTGCACCTTGGTTTCTGTGCGCATTGCGTACGATGCTCGACCTCGCCGACCAAAACTACACGTGCCCAACTGAAGACATTCCCGGTGGTTGTGCAGCAGCTCTTGAGGCTGCTGCTGGCTGAAATCCATCCTGAGCTGTTGCAGCACGGCTAACGCGGGCACGTCCCTATGCACAGCAAATAGCTGTTCCAAGCCAACAGCGGCGTCCATGTCACCGACAAGGCTCTAAACGTCTTATCTGTTCTTATGTTTAATTAAGTTTATGTATGTTATACTTTGTAATTTGACTTTACTCTGAACAAGGTGCTGTATACGTTGCACTACCAAAAACGCGACTGTTTGCTTGCACACAACTGCCTCTTCGCCAGACGCTTCCTCTTCCCGCGGCAGTTTCACGAGCCCAGTGTTGCAAGCTACGACGTAGGCTTTCGGTGCTTTCAGTTACTGCAAAGCAGCCACGCAATAGACTAGGCTGCATGCCGCGTGCGACTATGGCCATCATGCCCACCTGCGCAACGCGCTGACACACCACGACTTTTCGCCAAGAAAATTTACATACACTTGTACAGGCGCATTTCTCGAAACGCACGTGCGCATCCGCGAGGCAAAATTCGCTCCTGGCTTTGGGGACGAAGTACGGAGGGTCTATTCGGCAGAGTACGACCGCTCACATTTGTGCGAGGGGCTGCTTAAATAAATCGTCAGGATAAAGTTCAAACACATCTTCAGGATTAAGTTCGGCCGTATGTGTGTGTGCGCCGTCGGTTTTTGTATCCTGCACCAGCTCAGATTGGACGAGCAAAACATAGCTACGATGCTCCATTTGCGTGCCGTTGTTTTAGCCGACATCGCTTCAACTGTTTTGCGCCATAAATTATAGCGGTCATGTAGTTGATGATGGTAATACAATCAAGATGATCCTAGGCACTTTTGTCAGAAGACCAGAAGGAAAGCGGAAAGGCTCAGCGGAAAGGCTCAGCTTGAGCGTGCAGACGCCCCTGCAGGGAGAATTGTGGAGCGCAAGCGTACGAGTTTGAAAGCACATCCGGGCTTTGCAGTGCACAAGAGCCAGTCATAACTTCGAATCCAGCGTTGGCTTGTTTCAGAACAAGCAGCTTTACCGTGTCGTGGAAGGATGCTAGTCGTAACTTGGCGTGCACCATGCCCTCAATGAGCTCGGTAGTTCCGTTCGCAATGCGAACCGGACACGGCCGAATTGCTATTCCCAATTTTGCGGGCTGCCCCATCTGCCGTGCCCTTGCAGGCGGCACCAGAATCGATAAGTGCGCTGCAAGGCGTTTGGCATAAGAAGGCGCCAAAAATCATGGACTGTGAGGAAACAGTGCTGTTCAGCTGAACCTCTTTAGCTGGCGGGTCATACCAAAGTTGGATAGGCCACGGGACACGTGTCCCGGTGCACCGGGCATTTCCTGACGACTGACATCGTCTGTTTTTTTTACAAGCCAGCAGGTTTGTTCCCACAGCATACGTTTTAAGCAGCTGATGTATCCTGCTGTTCGGATGCGTCGTTCATCCTGAGACCATTTCGGCACTACGAAAAACGCTGAAGTGGTTTCAGCGCAGGCAGGTAATGCTTATGCCAAAGGTCAATCTGTGTACATGGGGAATCCGCCCAAGCAAAGTCGCCAGCGACATCCTAGTTCAGAAACGAATTTGAAGGCGAGACAAAGCATGGACAAAGACTGTTGTCGCCTTTTAAGAGCCGTTACAAGCAGCGTTGTCAGTGAACTGCCGACCCAAATCCTTCTTTATTTTGCGAAACTCGTCAGGGAGAAACATGCGATCACAGCTAACCGGATCATAGATAGGCAACAACACATCTTTGACTGGTCAGTCAGTCGAGTCCTCCAAACATTCAATCTGCGTACAGGCCCCAGCCGCGCGCTTGTCAGCTGACTATTCGGTCATTAAACTCTCCATCTTCGCGGCCAGCGACATTGCTGTTTCTAGTGTAATCGCTGAAAATATAAAAGCGGGCTCCGGCAGCCCCCGTTCCAACTCTGGTCGGGTCGTTCCAGCTCTAGTCGGGTTATCGGGCGGGTCGGCGCATGGATTCACCGTCGCAGCCTGCTGAGCTATCTTAGCGGCTTCACTTATCCAGGGCTTTATCGAGGGCTTGTGGTGTGTAATTTTCAGGGCTTGCGATGTGTTATGGAATGTACCTACACGCTTTGCACCAACCATGCCTTAAATAGACACCAAGTAGCTAGGCTAATAAGTAGACGTCTAGCAACTGGATCGATGAGGTAATAGGGTGCTTCCAATCAGCTGGGCTCGATTTTTTTCCAGGCGCACGCACCTTTCACGGGAAAAAATGAATATAAAACAAACTTAAACTGCTTTGTAAAAACGTCTGTAGCTTGCGATGCATGGGCTACTGTGTATACC